CGATTTAAATTATTGTTTGTCTCTATAAGTTCACAGTTTTTTGTAATGGCCATGTTTTCTTTTTCTTTTTGCATTTCTGTAATGACAAAGCTTTCACTTTCCACATTTTTGCTGTAACAAATAAATCTTGAATATATACTATACAAATTTCTGATTGAACGTTCTAATTCAAAATTAATAATATCTGCTTTTGTTTTTTAACTTAACTTTTGGAGAAATATGGAAAACTCACTAGGACATAGTTCATTGTTGAATCACATATAAGAGGTGGGGAATATCTTTCCCATAGTTGGGAAAGGCTCTGTTACTTTTTGTTTCATACAAATAATGGCAGCAGAGCTCTGCTCTATGCATCATTCAAACTATGCAAGAATGGTTTTCTATTCAGGTTTTTATCAGTAGATGCAATAACTTCAAACAAAAACTTACATAAATCAGTGTTTAACATTCCAGTTGAACATTTCTGTGGTCAGTCTTTGCTAGTTTAGGCTGCTAAAGCAAATCACATTCATATATACATTAGCACAACTAGTTGGAAAACAGTTTTCCTACATCACATGTCTTCTCACCATTTCCAGAATGTTATTGTTCTGGAAAAGAACAAATGTGAAGCCTTCAAAGCTCCCAGCACAAATGTCTGGGCTTCAGTGGCCTGGGCTCTCTTAGGCTTTTGTATATTCCAAGGCATTAATCATAGGTTTCCTGGCTATTCTCATATGTTCTTTTTCTATCCGGCTCTACCTAATATCGTCTAAACACTGACTTACTACTTGCATACATCAAATACAATTATTAAGGAACTAGTAATTTCTTGCAGTATCTTTAAAACCCAATGCCTGGCAGGACAGGCATTACAAACATCATAGCATGTACATGACTAGAAATACAAGTTCAATATTAAGCAAATTGCTAGCAGAAAGATCAAGTTAAGAATAATTTCAGTGATGAGTGAAAAATAGTGAAGTAAACATTTTAGTAAAGGGCATAAGACACATTTAGAAATGACTGAAGTAGCATCTTTGCAAAAATGTCTGAGGCATCGGTTACAAAACAGAAGAAATCATGAAAGAAACAGCTGCTGAGGAATGGAGACTGAAGTGACAAATAGTTCAAGAAATAGTATCACTTTCACAACTAGTATGAACACAAGTGTTTTTAGTTAAGGAGGTTCTATCAACTCATACAGCAGTGACTTTGATGCATATCAACTGGATTAACTCCTTATCTTTAAGAGATAATTTTAATTATAATCTCAGCTTTTCCTTACTAATTTTACATACAAACTGATATCTTTTATATTATGTTTATGATTAATTTCTTCTGTGTATTATTTAAAAAAACCAAGACTTTTGAATACATCTTAAAACCCCCCAAAATCTCAGAAAAAAAACCCAAGAAACAATATAGCCATGTCTGTTGAAGGAAATACTAATTATCAACAACTTAATAAACTGCAAGAAATTCTATCTTACCACTTTTCACTTTTAACAGGTATTCTTTTTACAAAATTAATACCTGCCTTTCATTTTCACTGTAAAAAAAAAAAAAAAAACCATTGTCAGAGAGAACTGGGTGAGATGGAATTCAGGAATTTTGCCCATTCATCTCCTTCATGGCATGTGTGATGCACGCCCATGAAGAATCCTACTTCTCACAATAATGCAATATCATTCTACAGAGGTAGGTATTGCTGTGCTAATTTTAAAGGTGTCAAACGTGTCACTTCCTACTGGCTTCTTTTGAGTTTATATTAATGTATTAACTATAGGAAGAAGGCTATCAAGATCTACAGTTGCTCTCTGCATCTGAAAGGGAGAAGCATGGGAGAGAACAACTCCTGCTAAGCTAATACCTTTTCTAATCATTGTATATGATAGACTGCAATAATGCTCCAGCACAAAGAGGGTAAAACAGTAGCCATTTGAAGAGAAGCTCTCTGGTCAGGAAATTCTGGCACCACACTGTAATCACATTGAGTCTATGAACCTTGAACTGATGGCTTGTTATGAAGCTAACTTACATCACATACCTAGGTATATCTAGTATCCATATGAATGCCATCTTCTTTTCTGTTACTGCTTTAACAGACTCATGGAAAAATAACAGTAATACTAGGCCATTTGAATGGAAATTCTTCATCTGAAACCATGGACATGTTATATACAGTTCTACAGAACAGTGTCCTGCCTTTTTTGCAGACATTCAGACTGAGGATTATGAGAGGTTTAGGGCAGCACTTTCACATGCAGGCTACAGACTAAAATTAATACTAACACTTATTTGCCTAATCGTGAGAGAGGCAAAGTATCTGAAGATATCATGCACTCATGGGGACATGTTGCAAACAGGGTGTGACAAAGTATTGTGCTCTTTAACCATATTTAGCATTATTGTCTTTTAAATTCTGTGTTAGCAAAATATCTGGTATTGACTGCTTTCCTAGTTAATTCTCTCTATATTTTTTTTTCCAAGAAAATTCTGCATATTATCACATTAAACGCTGTTTTAAATATTCTCAGCACCAGACTGAGGCAACAACTAATACTATGCCTTAAGGATTACTTAACTTTAGTGTCCGTAACCACAAACTGAGCATTTTGTAGGGTTCTAAAAACACTTTTCAAGCCTGAAAACAACTACAATAACTCTCTGTAGCACTCCAGCTCTTGGTTGGACTGAATTGTGGTAAATCATTATTTATAGGTGTTGGTTACAGCTGCATTGCCAAGGCGCAAATGTATTTCATACTTCAAGAAGGTACTCAGTCTCTCCTCCTTGTTAAACTAAAAAAAAAAACAAACCCAAACCCAGAAAAACCCACCAAACAAAAAAGAGCCCAGCATTCCCAAAGTCTTTGCAATTTTTTTCAGTGTTGGCTGAATAAACTATTTTCAGAGAGTTCACAGATAAACCTATTAAGTAATTTATGAGTTAAGATGACCTTGAAAAGAAAAGGCTCATTAGGAAATTTAAAATCTGAGTCAGTCTTCATCAAAAATAAAACTCACTAATGATATTCAGAAGCTTCAAGCTTTCTACATAGCTGACATTACTTTAAATAATTTTAAAAACATGGGTTATAATAAACATATTTGCTGTTATGTCATTGTTAATATATGCTGCTTCTATCATCAAATACTAATACTCTATGGACATATACAACTCCATAGATGAGTTCTCTTCAAGAGGGATCACTCTCGTGTTTTGAGACAGCTACTTTACTACTTAGCTAATTTTAATGCAATTATTTTGTTGGCTTTGACTTGGGATGCAGTTTCCCAAATGCTGAAAGCTTATTTTAAGTCTCTGCAGCCAGACATTTTTTTCTTCCTGCTGTTAGCACCTTTTCCCTTTCTTATGCTATCACTATGCTTGGGAGCAAAATACTTGGCTGAGGGGAAGGCAAGATTTCCATTTCTGACAGCAACATAGATTTACACTGGCCTTGGCCAAGCAAAACATGTATCTTGACTGCAAACAGGATCAGTCTCTTGCACATCAGGTGTTGTTAATGGCAAAATATAGAACTCAAGTGCAATTGCACTAGGGATTTCCAAGGTCATAAATTTGGACATCAGCAACTGATTCTCGTAATAGCATCCCTCTCACATCATTGTATACAATGTTCACCTCTGTTTTTATGTTGACTCTATGTTTAAAAACAAAATAAATTTTGCACAAGTAGCAGTGAACATTATACACTGGGAAGTCTATTACACAGCCTTCTCGCCCTTAACTAGGGCAACTCACTTCTGGGAAAGAAAGCTCTGGGGTGAAATTTGATTTTTACTGCTCTGCTGGAGCTGCTATCTCCTTTCTTCACAAATGGTCTTGCAACAGATGTGCTGGGTACAGGACCACCCGGCTCACTCCACACCATATCACCTGCAGGTTGCCATCCTCAGCACCCTCCCTCCCATATCTGCAATCACTACCATATATACTCTTCTTCCACCACTCTGTCTTTCTACTTCTTCCACTCCTCCTTCTCTTCTACAGTTGTCAGAGACTGCTTAGAATAACAAAGAGCAACAGAAAGGAAAAAGTGACGAATGCAGAAAGGGAACCCTGTTGGCTTGCTGCCTTAAGCATATATTTTTGTGTGTTAAAAAATGGTACATGATTGCTAAAAGGACAGCATTTTTATATTTTGCAAGTTATCCTGTGAAAACTTGTTATCAAGCTTAGCAAGGTCATTTGCTTAAAGACCATATGTCATGCTTCTTAAACACATTTTTATGATTAATAATCCCTTCTTATTATTGATGCAAATGAAAAAAAAAAAAAAGATTTTAGTTCCTTTGTCACACCCCAAAAATTCTTGAGGGAGATGGAAAAGAGGAGTCTATGCAATGCTAAAATCAAGCTATAAATTAACAGTCAGCATAAGATCACTCTTGCATAAGTACGGTATCATCACTACCATAGGGTAAAAATGTTACTACGTTTTTTTTCACTTATTTCTCTCTCCCCTCCTTGAGCTTTTCGTTTTCAGATTTTCAGTTATAAAAGAGCCATTGTAATCTGACAGCAGAATGAGTTACGTTATATATAAACATAATGTAAGAAATACTACAAACACTACACACCTGAATATCCACTGACTACACAAAACCAAGAACATTCAGAATAAAGATAGCTAACCAGTGTTGAAAAAGGAATAGCATGCAAGAATCTCAGGTCACTACGACATTTAGGTACAGTGACTAAGAATAAAAAGTGCAGAGCAACAGGCACTACCACTTATTTCTTTTTTGTGACTTCATCTTAAATCTGTCTGTAGAATTTTGTATATGTAATGCACTTCCCTTTGATGTAGCATTATGAGAAAGAACACAGCTCTTTGGGACATAAATCACAGCAGTAAGAAGGTAGTTCAAGGGATAGGCACAGTCTTTGTCCATTATTTGTCTAACACTAAATTGCTCCAGGCAAAAATTTGCTTTCAACAAATATCAAGTTTATATGAAACAAAACAAAACAAAAAAACCCCAAAATACTCACAGTTTTGGTTTGGCAAGCACAGGTGGTGGCTCCTTTGTGGGTGAAAGCAAGACAGCTGTAGGCGGGATGGATTTATCACTATTTGGGTGGCTGTTAGTCATTCCATTTACTCCATGAACCGGGTGGATGCCATTTGTTTTTTCCTCAGACGAATTGAGCTGTAGTTGAAGGGCTGTCACACCAGATCTCAACTCAGTGTTGTTTTCTTGGTGGGTCTCTGTATGTTTCTTAGGAAGAAGCTCAAGAGAGCTAATTTCAGCTGGAGGAAGTGGTGGGAAATGATGGAAATCATCACTGTTGGATTCTTTTGTCAATGATTCATGACTAGAGTTTTCTGAATTGGCTAAAAGAAATCAAAAAGAATGTCTCTCTGACAAGTCATAGACAAAGTACATGGTACATACATGCTGTACTTTCAGTTTATTAAAGGTGAGATCTCTTTGGTTCTGTGCAGATATTTTTTCTAGACCTCCTGTTGATAATTCATGCTGAATTAGATACATGACTGGCTATTCATTTTCTGACTTTGCTCCATGCAAAAGGCACAATAAGGAACCTTACAGATCCTTCTAAATCTGTTCCAGGAATCCAGCCACCAAGATTGGCAAGTACTATGGGACAACACCATCTAAAACAGGATTTCTTCTTCCTGGACTCTCAGCATCATTTAAGAACAAATGATTTAAAAATACTGAAGGATGTATGTATACACAGCATGTTTGCAATGGCAGCTGGGTTAGTGCATTCCACAACAATATGTATGTAAACATCTTACAAAACTAAACATACCATGTCACAGTTTTTTTATTTTACAAAAGGCATATGCCACCTTTGGTAGCATAATTTCATCTGCTTTCATTTTGCCTCTGCTGCCATCTAGTCCCAGAACCCTAATGCTTGAAAATCTGCCAGGTTTGTGGCAGACACTTTAAAAAATGTATTTTACATGAATAAAAATACTAAACTAGGAAATAAGCCAATAAAAACATTGTTTGCTTTATATGAATGCTCTGATGTTGACAAGACCCCTGTCTCACAGCAGCCCTTTTCTACAAGGGAAGCAGACTGATAACTTCAGAGGTAAATTAATTATCTAAGATCTAAGATT